TACTTATGAGAGTGGAGCAGTGCTTGTGAGAGCTCACAAAAATAATGATTATAGCAAATGTCACACCAGCAGATTATATGCATATTCTTATTTTGTGTTGACATAAGAACAAGTTAGTAAAATACATTAAATGATTAGAAACGTAATCGCTAGAATGTACTGATTATCAGTGTGGGATAGATGAGAATACATACTCATATGCGTTTGCAATCAGTCGAAGTTTAGACATTGGAAAAAAAAAAGATCTCCTTGGAACACCCGTTTGACGCTCATTTCGAAACGTCCTATCGTGATCAATTGATAAGGTTGATTGAACCTCCACGAGAACAATTTGAAAAACTTTTTATGCGTAGGTGGAATGAGTAGGCTGCTTGGTTATACACCATACTCACGACGTCTCAAGCCTGCAGGAATTCCAACCGCTTCTAGTGAACGTTGTCGCTCCTTAAAAAACTAAACCATTTTACTTTTACGAATCAGTACGCTCTTTAATTAGTCCACTTTCACTGCCTGCACTAAGGTTGTCGCAGCACTGATACAGCATTGCACACGCAAAACAGTTTATTTGTTTTTGGGTGATTGCTGATTCGAAATGCCTTACAAACTTGGAATTATCAGTGACAGAGGCCGCACCATCTCCAAAGATAATGAGATTTAATCGGAAATAAGAGTCCACTAACGGCGATCATGTTCTCTAGTGCATGAAGAAGACGTCCGAATCCTCTGCAACACCCGACAAGCCCAAGAACACCAGTGAGCACTGTCCCCATCATTGAGAGTGCTTCACCGGTAGTCAGCAAGAGCACTGCGTCAGCTGCGTTATGATGCACTGAAACATCTTTTAACTTTCAATGATCAGCTTTTTTTGATTTTGAAACAAATTCACAATTTTTCACGCCTCAAATTTGAACGAATTTGAATTTTCATCATGAAAATTCAGTTGGTAAACAATGAAGAAATTAGTTCAGCAGATGAAACGAATTTGCGACTAATAATTGCTTGTTTAATCACACAGCTGTATGTAGTGGAGTGTAGAAGATAAGTCCTATCTCAATAATAAGAGCAAACTTATATTTCTTAATATATCGCAGCGTGCTAACGAATTGCATGTTTCGTAGTATCATTAGTCGAGAACAATCTATGCAGGCGCTAAGTAGTGAGTGCTATTTGTACATTATCTGACACGCTCAGGGATGAGAAATCATTGGTGAAATAGCAACAAACCGAGTAGATTTTATAGAGCAGACAAACTGCGAATGCGATTTGAAAACGTTATTCTCAGGTGAGTTAAATTCTCAATTGATTTGCGTTATCCTGGAGTAACGCATTCGATCTTAATTTCAATGTTTGAATAAATTTTAATCGACTGCTCTTTAATCGATCTCAACAAATCTTTGAAATGTATTCAGTAGAGAATGTTTGGAAAATTAAGTTAAGCAACGTTGGGAATGCAAAATCAATTTCGATACGATGACGAATGCATGCGCTATCAATCGTAATCTCGAAAGAATATTTGCGTTTCGCTGAAAAAGTCGTTCGATTCTCGTAGAGCATTCGAAGAATTGTTTACACATTCATTCAAAGGAATGATCATTCACTAGCGCTCACTGCAACAGTTCATTATCGGCGCAGTGCAATCGGAGTTTGAGAAAGTCTTTCATTGTACGTAAAAAGTTACACTTTTGAAAAATTCCTGCACACAGCACATCCATGAACTCACCTTGATCATACAGCTGCGCGTTCGTGTCAAGTGCGTATGCTGAATAAGCAAGCCAACACATTGTGGACATGTAGATGAGCGTTTGAAATGTACACATTCCACAGTATGCTACCGTATGAGCATAACTTTGCCATCTACCACTAAAATGCGTTGACAATAATCGACGAACGTGAACACCTTTATGCAACCCCAACCAAGTATAAGAGAATTTCACAGTTTTGGTCGTTAAAAGTATTTTTGAATTTTTCTCATCAAGTTCAACCTCAGCGTTCATCATTGTATCTTTTAAATGGATAAGTATTCGTATTAATATTCAATCTGATCAACACTATTGCAGATTACTTTCAATTTTCCACTCTCAGTGGACTATTCTCTAAAATGACTAAGAATTTCGACAGCAGTATAGTTTACATGACCATGTCCAACTGAATGCGTGTTCTCCTAAGGTTTTCGAACACTGACTGATCCAAATTTCCATCTTTTCTTCAAATCCTCACTCTTCCATATGATGTATTTTCTTCTGCATTTCCCACTGCAATTTCTTTCCCATCGCATGCTATTCATTGCGTGCTCCACTTGTTTTTTATCGAATGTTTTGTTCATTCGCTCCCAACACTCGTCAACTTCAATCGTTGTTCATTTTATTTTTACGCTAGTCTATAACTTTACCCAATTTATAAATGCAACATTTAAAGGTTTGTTTTATCAATTCCATTCGCCGATGTT